AATCTACTATCGTCACCAAGAGGAGGCGGAGGCGGGATGCGAAGCGACCAAGGGCTCGAGGGAAGCTTCGTGGAGGAGGCCACTTTATGTTACTCATTCGATCGGTGAGAGATTGTTGCTCTTGCTTGAGAGCAGCTGTATCCTCTGGAGGTCGTGGATGCGGTACTTCTGGCCCAAAGATCGGACGCTCAAAAGCAAAATCCCGGACATAGCGAAGAACTGGATGAAGTTGTGTTTGGTTTCATGGCGTTTTTGAAAAAACCGAGCGGTTTCCTTGCATTTGGGACGGTGGAGGTGAACCTGGCGGTGCCGACGAAGCCATGAATGTGAACGATGTGAAGCAACAAAACTCCAAATCTTTGCCAGGAAATGTGCTGACGCCGACTGTAGAAACAGCGTAATAAAACAACAATTCGGCTTTGGGCCTCTGATACCTTTGTGATTCAGATTGGGCTTTAACTACTCATTCTGTAAAATTATTATATTTAATGTCGTTTTGTAGGATTTTTGTTGAGAATGAGCTTTTAATTTTTGGATTATAGTACAAACAATTTTATTATCTACTGTAAATAACCTTTTGAGGACAGACTTGAGGACTGTGTCCAAGTCTTTGATGTCCACATGCAGTAGTCAGTTGCATGATCGTGACCACACTCTCTCCCGCCTGGATCACCTCCAAGGAAAGCCGCTGAAGATAGCTGGGTAACTCTCAATACTGGTAACGCTTTCAATGGCACCGCCTCTGTGGGAACTATCGGAGGCCTCATCCGTTGCCATGAAGGTCGGTTCCTGATTGGCTTTAACAAGTTCGTTGGCCCCTCCACTATCCTGGAAACTGAACTCTGGGCCATTCACGATGGTCTCGCCCTAGCTTGGTCGTATAGCTTTGAAAAGATTCAATGTTAAGCCGGTAATGTTGAAGCTCACAAGCTTCTCACCTCCACAGACGTTTCTTCCAGCCCTATAGCCCTTGTTCGTGCCATCGACCGTCTCTGCTCTAAACCTTGGCTGATCGATCTGATCTTAATCAAGCGTGAAGCTAACTATGCAGTGGACTTCCTCGCCAAGCTGCCATCCAACAACGATGGCTCTCTCAGTGTTCACCAAACTCATGATGATCTCTATGATATTTCTCTAGAGATAACCTTGTTCCTCCTTTCTTAAGGAACCGACCTACTTAATGTAATGGCTTTGCTTCCTTACTATTCTAAAAAAATTAAAAACAAACAATTCATCTTCTTTCATCCTTCACTCAGCCGTGGCGTAAAACTCAAATACGCAAAGTTGACTTTTAAATTTGGAGATAGACAATAAATTTTGTGTTACTTGTGGCACATGTAACAACTTGTCAATAATAAACTTTCTTGCCGAGGAAAGTAACAAGACTGACCAATTCAAGCAATTGAAAGAGAAGAGTTATCACCTAAATGAGTTTTACCATAACTTGTGTAAACTTGTTGATACTGCAAGACTGTTTAATCTTTTGCTACATAGTGGGTTGCCCCAAAATTAGGGAACCATTTGATGCTACTTGATCTCTGTTATGCTGCAATTAACGTATTGAGATGGACTGACAGCTGTTGCCATATTATCAGCACCTACAGAGGAACTCACAAGCGTCTGAAGCAGGAGTAATAGCACACATTTGCCTGAGATGTGGTGGACTGTCGTGTTTGTCGAGTAGTAATACCTTTCAAGGTTTGATCAAACTGTCCGTCAATCTTATGACTAGGGATCAGATATACCATATTAGGATTCACCAAAGGTTGATCAATGATATCGTCGGTGACTGTATATCACCAAGATTCTAGTGATCCTACTTATTTGCTTGCATGTGCAGGGTAGATAATGTGCAACGTTTGATGATCCTTGCATTAAAAAAATCATAATTACAACTACTTAATTGGGTTTCGTCTCCTTCTAATTCAGATGTAACCCAACGTATGCATATAGTAACTCTAATGACACTATTGTATGTAAAATGATGAAGAATATTACATTACAACAAGCGACACCCGCAGGGTACTGTACTTACAATTAAAATGACTTAAACGAGTAATTAAGTAATAGACGTAGTTTGTGTTAACCTATCAGGTAGTTCTTGTGACCTAAAAGCCTGTAGACTAATCGAAATCACTGTTTAATTATCTTCCAACGTGAGCCCAAAGCAATGGAAATTGGTCATGTTAGAAGGTCGCTTTTACCGTTGGTGTTTGATGTCGTCTGCCCTTCAGCATTGTGATCCTGTTGACCTGCGTCACCAGAGCCGGTGCCCGGTGAAGCACCGTCAGCGCCGTTTTCACCCAATTTTTTTTATGAGAGGTTTCCGCCTTGCTATGGCCATGGTGGTCACTCGTCTTCTGGGCAACCTTCTTGTGCCACTGCTTTAGGGCCTTGGATGTTTGTTCATCGAAGATTGACCTCTTCATGGTTGATCCCATCTGCAAATCCAACAATCAATCAAGCACAAGTAGAACCCATAACTTTTTCTACCTTGGATCACTAGGGGTCATAATATTGAATTACGATCACAATGCATTATAACAATCGCTTCATAACATTTTTTTAAGGTCACCATAACACCGCAAATCACATCCGTAACATAAAAATATAATTATTTTTGAAAAATAAATTATATCATAACATCTGCAACATTTACGACCACAATACCGTAGCTGCAACTGTAATTAAGTACTATGGTAGGGGTTAAGAGGATTTACCTGAGTAACAAGGGCGTAGAGTGGAAGTGTGATGTAGCTGCACATGAATTGGACTAGTACCCTGTCAAAAATTCACCCTTCCATCATCATATGTGCAGCAAAATACATATTTATAAGAGTAAAATGGTTTACCCCAGACAAACTCTTACGACTATCAGAGTAAAATCTTCATGAAAGCATGACCTTAGCCCGAACTCATACTGCATTATAAGGAATGGTTAGAAACATCGGTTCCACTTGTTCTAGCCATTATCCGAATACGAAAAAGAACAACATTACCCAAATCCAAAAGAAATATGTGATCTCGAATGCATTCTGCAGATCAAACAGATACAGTAAAGAATATCAGAACATTACACAGTGGTGGCGAGTAGGCCTGTAAACGAACCGAACGCACACGAACAGAGGTATGTTCATGTTCGTTCATTTAATAAATAAACGAACAAAAACGAACACGAACATAAACGAACAAATTTTTTTTTGTTCATGTTAGTTTATTAAGGAATATAACTTGTTCATGTTCGTTCATTTAATAAATAAACGAACATAAACGAACACGAACATAAATGAACACGATCATAAATGAACATAAACGTTGGAGACCATACCTTCCAGTATTCTTTCATGAAAAATAGTCGACAATGCAAACCAACCAAATCTACGTTATTCTAATAAATTCGACGGCTAAAAGTTTTGTGACATCAATGTCAGACTTTAGTGAGGTTTGTTAATAATTGTCCTTTCCGTTGGCAGAGTAAAAAATTTAACAGCACGAAGATTTCAAACGATACAAATTGGACTACAAGGCAATAATATAGATCCGAAATCCCTTCGATGTTACATATCGTAACTGATATTATTGCTAAACTACCATTCAAAATTTTAATGTACTTAAAGTCTACTCCACAACTAAATGTCACACAATAACTATGAAAACAAAAGTTCATTGTCAAAGTGTATTTTCTACTTATTAATGGGTTCTTCCTGGAAAACCCATTACTTCTGCTATTACACTTTTTTCAGAAATTGCATAGAAACCTTTGTTTTATTTTCTGAAAAATTCTATTATATTTTTCTCTTTACTGATACTCATATACTTCCGATTATTACCTTTATCTTCTCATATATTTCTAGAAAGAAGTATGATGTTTTCTTGAGTTTTAGATGTGAAGATACCCGCAATAACTTTACATATCAACTATTAAGCCAAATAAAACAGAGAAAGAGATGAAAACAAACATGTAAACTTTAGATTGCACTATAATATAATTTGTTTTGAAGCTTTCAGCGATCGTCTCTACTCTCTAGTGAATATTAGGGTTTGGGGAAAAAAATGGGGGAAATGAATATAGGTGTGAGGTGCCTCACGGGTTAACATATTGGATTTAATCTCCAAATAAAATTGGGTTAATTATGGAGTTGGTCATCAGAATATCAGATTAATTAATATTTTTAAGATACTTACAAATTGGTCACCAAAATTGATTTAAGAATATTGGGTTAAACATAAATGAATGAACATAAACGAACATAACCGAATGAACATAATCGAACGTTCACGAACGTAAATGAACGAACGAGACTTATGTTCATGTTCGTTCATTTAATTAAACGAACACAAAATCTTATTCATGTTCGTTCATTTAATAAATAAATATACATAAACGAACTTCCTGTCGCACGATTCATGAACGATTCGCTGAACGTTCAGTTCATTTACAGGCATAGTGGCAAGGCGATTATGATGAGATTAATTAAAAGAGTAAAAAAAAACCTGAAACAATACAAAGTGGATAAGACGGAGGACTAAGGGAGGCCAACCGAACCAAAAATGCTCGTCAGCGACTGACACAAGAGGCATCCCTTGTATAACAGCGTGTTTTTCTACTATTTCCTATGCCATTTTTGCTATAATTCCTTGAAGCTTGGTTCCAACTGCTAAAGTTACCTTTTTTATTTTAGAAAAAAATTTTGTTATACACGGAATAGAACAAGGAAAAAATTATTTATTTATCCATCCATCTATTTTGTTGTTTCATTTTAATTCTCTAATAATTTTTTAAAATTATACATAACATTATGTTTTTATTTAAGGTTGGTCATCAACCGTTAAAAATAAATAAAACTATTTATATGACATTTTTTTTATTTTTTAATGATGACATGTCATTACATAATAATAACCGTATGTGACATATTAACATCAGTGTTAAATTTTTTACAATAGATGAGAAAAGTTTAATATTAAATATTCTTTACAATAGATGAGAAAAGTTTAATATTAGATTTTCTTTAAAAAACTTGAATGATCAAAACGGAATTATAAGACTAAACAAATAACTAAATACCTAATTTATCCTATAATAAAATGGGGATTTAAGTTATCATGGACATTCTCTTACCACCAAAGGAATCATGCCTATGAAAGTCATAACATGCCAGCCTGAAAAGCATCAAGAAAGCATCATGAATGAATATATCTGAATAAGAGGGTATTTTTCCCGAAAAATCATCGGTGATCGGTATATTTATCGATCTAACATCAAGTCAGATTATATTTCTCGATCTAACATCCGTAGCAGTAAATCGCGCCTCCTGAATCGCGTTATATGTTGATTTGGCGCCACGTGGAGTATATCGCACCCCTGTACCGCGCTGTACGCTGACTGGGTTCACGTGGGGTATAACATGCCCCCTGCTCCGCGCTATACGCCACGTAGGGGTATAGAGCGGATCAGGGGTCGCGCTATACGCCGTACCAAAATTATATTTAACGCGGTCCCTGGTCTGCGCTATATAATAATTACATATAACGCGGTGCAGGTACCGCGTCTTATATGTTTATAAATACACTCCTCCGGTTCTCACATCTCCTCACATCTCTCCTCTCAACTTATAAATTAATACAACAATTTCGTCAACGAGTAATAATTCTGGCAATCTTCTCATATTTGATTTAGAAATTCGTGCGATTTTTCGTTATAAAGTAATTTTGTTATAATTTTTTAATTATACTTATTGTTTATTATCATTATTTGAAAAAATATTATACTAATTATTTTCAATTAATTTTTATGTTTGTAAAATTGAAAAGCGGGAGCATACGTTGAAATAGTTTTGCGGTGCAGGTA